CAAGAAGGAGCTGAGGGTAGGGAGAGCACGCAGTGCCCCTTATACTGCGCCATGGAGGCGCCACTCCAGGGATCACTAGGGTGCTCCCCTATGGGTACTGCTAGGGGAAAAACTTCCGGCACTGGTGCACGTGGTGAGCATGCACACCTATTGTGGAATAGACATGAGCAACATATCTCGAAGAACACCAGTTATGGAAAAGATAACTGTCTTTTCTTTATCTCTGTGCATGCTCCATTTAAAAAATATATTAATAGAATATTTGCCATTTCTAGAACAATAGGTGTCTCTATGACGAGTGACTTTTGTACCTCTTTTGAAGAGGATTTTTATTTAATCTTTTCTTGTACAAATAGTACATCTATTTCAAATAATCTGTTAACGTCTATTGGACATCTTTACTTTAAACATAATACTTAGTACCTAGTTACCATTGTGACTTACCCATATAATGTACATTTCACTGGTATGGCACAGAGCAAACTGCAAACAGAGCTGTTTTCTTAATTTTAGAAACTGCTAGTAATAATTCATATTCTTTCAATAGTCAAGTGTTAAAAAGAGAGCGGTTGAGTCCATGCACACACAGACATACACAGTATCTGTGCACATGTATAGAGGTATGTGTATCTATATATGTTTATATAAAATATGATTAGTTATGCTTAATGTAGTTTGTCTTGACAGGAGGGTGTGGATCTGGAGGTAAATATTCTTTCACTGTGTTCATACGTGCTTCTTACTCAAAAACAAGAGCTATAAAATTGTGCCTTCTTGCCTATGAACCTAAATTGTGAATTCTTTGAAGAATTGAGGGATTTGTCCCCAGAGTCCCAGTTGTAATATTTTAGCTATTCAAAAATGAATATTCTAAATCTACCATGACTGTTGGAAGCCTTAGATCTTTTATCAAGTCTATCATAATAAACAGCCACTCTAGAAAATAGTCCCTAATTTATTACTTACTTCATTGATTTCTGCTTTATTTAAAAAAGCAGAAGATACTTTTTTTTAGAGAGTTGCAGGTAAAAATATGAGAGAAGCTGAAAAGATATATTGGCAGGTTCACATTGTGCTATTGAATACTTATGGAAAAAATACATTAGTTAGCAGAACTGGTAAAGTTATGAGTAATTCTTTTCTGGAAAAGAAATGTATATAATCCATGTTTACACTGAACTTTCTCAAAGGTTTATGATTAAAAGAAATATTTCATTGAATGTGAGATCATATTACTCCACAGAAGAAAATTTGAAGTGACTAAAATGATTACAGATTTACTTTTATAGCAGGTTTCCTTTCAAAGCAGAATGCTAGCAGAGCATGGCTTTATTAAGACTATTAACTCTGGCCTTTGCACATCTGTTTGTGAAGCTGCTATAACTACAGAATATGTTTTGTTGAATATGAGGGATTTATCTTGTTTTAGAAAAGTTTATATCTTTATGTAAATGAATAACTATGTATCTATTGCGAGTCAAATTTTTAATACAAATTAATTTTTCCGAGATATGAGAGTAATATCTGGAATTAGAGTACAGTACATATATATTAGTCTGTGCTTGCTAGAGCTTTGAACTAAGTTTCAACTCTAGCCAGCAATAAAATTCCTTACAAAATAAACAGATTGGAATCCTAGTGGTGGATTTTACATATTGAAGCCATTAAGGGTATTATATTTGAAACATTTATTACATTTAAATATAACTGAAGAACTTGTGACAATAAATAGTATTCCATTCTTACCTTTTGTTCCCTAAACATGCATTATCCATATTATGCCCGAAAAACCAATTAGCCCTCAATTGCTTTATATTCATTAGTATTAGATTTTGTTAATGATGCATGATTAGAGCATTGCATTGTTTCTAATCTCTTACATTTTCCCATAAACTCTCCTGTTTTCTCCATGTAATTCATTTGGGTTTTGTTGGCATTACAGTCGTTTTGGAAAGTGTGTAATGTATACATTTTATTAGGATTTTTTTAAAACATCTGGTTCAAATGGTCTGAAGCTCACTTATGTTTTTAAAATATACACAATTTTATTATGTGCCATATACATTTACATAAACCCATAGTTCTTTAACACCTTTCATGCAAAGCACGCTGGAAACTGTTTACTAATTTTGGAATTTTATTGTAATTTTAAAACAGTAAACAAAAATGGTAATTGAATTTAGACTTTTTAAAATTCTCGTGAGTCTAAATATTCTGTCCATCAGCTCCTCCGGAGGGACAGAGTGAACAAAGACCCTAGATGAGAATTAATTCAAATAATGTTTAGAGATAAGAAGCTCTGCAGCTTATCTCAAGGAATTTTTGGACCTGGGGGAGAGAGCAAGCCTATTAGTTTAGAAAGGAATAAGACCGTGCAATGATTTTATAATCAATATTGTCTTTAATAGGAACCCATGAAGCAATTAGCAATGTGGATGGGAGATGCTGAGATAAGTGAAATACCCTTATCTTGATTGGGGAGAAAAGTGAGCATAGAGTTGCCTTATAAACAATCCTAGATGTCAGAAGATACAGCAATCCTGTCATGTTGTCAGGTTGCCTAAAGGTTCTCTACCTAGCAGTATTTCCTTCTTCTCTTTAATAATAATAGTTAATAATAATAAATCCAATATTGAATATAATAACATAAGGGATAGAAGACACAGTCATAGAAGACACAGATTAAGCCATTCATCCTGGTGGTGTTGTAAAGTATGATCTGATATCTTCCAAATAAATTCTTGAGCAGATTTTAATAGGTTGGGGAGCTAATTTTCAGCATGACAGTTTTCTTCAGTGTTGATTGTAAGGATTCTGTGATAGCCGCATCTGCACTTCTGACAAGGCATGACAAGGTTGAGATTGCCTCAGTGGGAACAGCTGGAAGAGGAAAATACATCCAGTTATCACTGTTAACTGATGATAATTCACCTTCTATTGCCCCAAAATACGCACTTAAGGAAGAGAATGAACTAAAGTAAAAGAGCTCTTAGCAATCGAATAATTAACTGGAACAAGATCAGATTTTTTTTTGAAAGGTAAGAGACTGGTATCTTCAGGACAAAAACAGGATATTGCAGTCCCTGAGCAACCAAGCATTCAAGATGAGTTGAATCATTTCAATAGCATTAATAGTTGCCCAGAGCTCTGCTAAAGCAAATGACAAATATCCTACAAAATGCTAATGATAACTACGTTTCTCCCCTCAACTGCCTCATCCATTGCAAATTAAGAACACTAAGATTCATCGATATTGATATTATAGTTTTTCTACTTCCCTTGCCAGTCTATGGTAAAATTAATTGACTAGGTAGAAGAAAGACCAATAATCTCAGACTAAAAAGAAGAGCATAACCTATATAACACGACCCCTTCCTAACACTTCCTCTCCCTATTTACCAGTCGTTATCTCTTGTTACATTTCCCCCACTGCCCCATCTTCTCCACTCTACCAGTGATGCCAGCCTCAATATCTTATTTGTCTGCTTCTCCCGCTGACCTCCACATTGCCATCTAGACATGGAACACCTTTCCTGGCCTGGGTTTGTAAAACCCCTACTGAACATTTTTCCTGCACCTTTCCTTTGTGTATTCAGATTTTAAACTCGTTAGACACCTGGTGTATTTTGTTACAACAATCTAAATATAAAGAAATGTCAAACATTAATAAGTGGAACCCCCTAATTTATTCTCAGATGAACTTAGTGGGACGCACCCCACCCTTTGAAAAATTAGGCCTTTTTAAGGTGTCTTGAGTTTTGTATGTTTGTACAGTACCTAGCACAGTAGGGCCCAACATAGTTGACACCTTTAGGCACTATTACAGTGTAAATGTTAAATACTACTAATAAATAGGAGAATAAAAATACAGTAGCAACCCTGTAATTAAATATTAAATAAAGCCTGAGGGAGGAGCTGAATTGATCACTAGATTAGATGTCTGTGTCATCTTGCTGCAAGATTCAGAACAACATATTTTAAGGCTCAGTGCAATAAGTTGCCTCCTCAGCTAGTGGAGTATGAAAACTCTGTCAGTCTCCTGGGCTCTTCAGCTGTAAACTCTAATTCTTTTTATATTTTTAAAAAGAAATTGTAATAATAATCCCTTGTTTGCCAACTGCATCATACCATTTTAGGAATGCTACCCCAACTATCCTTTTCATATTCAGGGAGTCTCTTAAAGACCTAATGCAGGACTACACTTTTGAGGAGGAGGTTGTTGGAGGTGGTGTTGGTCATCTGAGTCCTTCACCTGGATAAACTATCTGAGCAGACTGGGCAGATTAGGAAGAAATTGTATTTAAATGCTAAATACTGGAAACTACTTCAGTTGAATAGAGCTGAAAAGAGAACAGACATCTGTTGTGAGGGTTGATCCATGGGAGCACATTATTTTAAACCTTATAAATGGGTGTCGTCATAATAAACAAAAAACTAGTCTGGGCAGTGCACTCAAGAATGTACTTTAGGGAACAATCCTGCTTTAGTGGGAAATGGACAGAATGACCTAACAGATATTTTCCACCTCAAATTTCCATGACTCTTGGAAGGTAATTATTGTGGGGCATAATTCAGGGAGAAGAGAAAAATAAATATAAAGATGGGTATACCATATGTGGAATGATTGATTGAAGTTCTGTTTGGATAAAATGATCAAAGAAATAAACCATATTTTTACAATGCTATGCTTTCTTTAAACAAAGCCTCCAGTTTAATGCTATGATAGAAAGGAAACAGAGGCTGACTCATAGAAAGCTGAGATCACTTCTTGGATTACATGAATGTGAATATTTAAAGCTGACATTATGGAGGCTATGAAGTGTTTCTTACTGTGCCATGAGTGAATCACTGACATTGACAGGGAGAAACTAAATAATACATGATGGGAAATAAGCCCTATTATTGGAATATTCATTTTTAATTAATTTTGTGTACGTTTCTCTTTTTTTTCTTCCTCTCCTCCTTCCTCCTCCATTCTCCCCCTCCCTCTCCCCCACCAGGGTAAATGGGAAGTTGGTGGCACTGAAGGTGATTAGATTACAAGAGGAGGAAGGAACTCCATTTACAGCTATCAGAGAAGGTATGCACTCATGTTTAATGATTATTCATTGTTTATTTTTTAATTGCATTGCGCTCACTCTCTCCAATACCATGCTATACTAAATAGCTTGAGATTTTAAATTATATGGTTATGTTCCCTGTAGGAGGCGGCTTTGGTACTTTAAAATCAAAACCTCCCTACAACGTGGGAGTTCATGTTAAATAAAACAAATCTGTGCCTCTGTGGTTTGGCTTGTCTGAGAACTGCTATTGGGTACAAGTGACATACTAAGTAGAGTGTGTGTGGGGGGTGGGGTGGGGGGGGTTGTCACTGGTATAATATGTTGGGGAAGTTTTGCTTGTTGTGAAGCAGCATCTAAAATGAGTGTGGATTTAACTTTTTGCTTATGTGAGGCCATGTTCCCTGAAAGATAGTCATATAGAACAATCTCGGCATTTTTTGACTGCGAGAGCCATAGTAGGTTCAGGGACAAATATAGCAAGCTCCTTAAAAACTGGGTGGCTGATTACCTTTTTAAAGAACTGACTGTTTATGGTTTTTGTCCCCCTCCCTCTCTGCCACCTCTAAGCCAGACAGTCTAGGAATGACTCTTTTCTAGCTGAGTGTCAAAGTTCTGTCATGCTTTCTGCTCCACTCCCTCTATCCTTTCTTATCAGCCCCCCCGGCTGCTCCCTGGTGACAGCTTCTGTAGCTGCGCTTGGCTGCCGCAAGCGCCTTTGCAGAAGTTGCTGCACATTCCTTGTTTAAATGGGCCTACTCTGTTGGTAAGTGCCAAAGATAGGGACTGGTGGTGAAATAAGAAACGTTTTACCTTCCGGTCACTGATTCAAATTCATCTCAGGGTATGGCTATACTACAAAGCTTTTAGCGACACGGTTGCCAGGTGTCTGGTTTTTGACTGGAACCCCCCCGAGTTGAAAACCCCCTTGGCAGCTCCGGTCAGCCCAGCTAATATTCATATAGTTTAAAGCAGGAAAACTTTCTAGCATAGAGAAGCCCACAAACAGCCTGGCTTGAAATACTAATACTCCAAGGCCCCTATCCAACAAAGCACTTAGTCATGTATAAGACTTAAAGCGCCTGATTTCAATGGGACTTCCTACATGCTTCAAATTATGTAAGTTCTTCTTTACTGGGACCTGATCCAAAGCCCATCTAAGTTAATAGGAATCTTTCCCTTGACTTGGGATCAAGGCCCAACAGATTTTTCTTAAAAATATCCATGTCTTCTAGGCTGTGGAACCTCATATAGGGTTGTGGATGCCACATGGAAATCAATTTCTGTAGCTTTTGTGTTACATGGAAGCTGTGTGTGGTTGGGGTGGGGGAGAGGAGAGGGAAAAGTGTATTTTTTATTTTTTGGTTAACATAAACTTTAGTTGAGAACCAGAAAAGGATAGAAAAATACACTGAAAAATGTAACTGAATGTCTTTTCAGTATTGAGGCAGAATTGTACTAGGCATACATCATTCTATGTATAGAAATAAAAATGGAAGGTAGAATAAATACTTTATATTGAACTCTTGGAGAGGCCTGATATACTTTAGACTAAAAAGTGATGAGGCTGGGAGGGGCTGAGCTACTTAAACCTGCTTGAAGAGTTTTTCTTTGTCTCCATCTGCTGATTAAAGGTGCAGCCCTACAATTTGGACTAGGAGATAGAAAGCTGCAATTTATAAATGAGGTCAAATTCTAACTTCAGTTTTTATTTGCATAGTAGTGTTGATCTAATCAAGCCAAAAATGTGTTTCATGAGCCAGAGAACTGCACGCAGGCATGCAAGTTATACACAGACTTCTTTCCAGAGCTTTTCATAATGTGGAAGCCAGACAGTTTTTATTCTTGCTGACTCATGCCCTATTTTCTAATTTTCAATCAGTGTATCAAATTCAGGCAAAAATCCAGGAATTTATAAATTTAAAACTGGAGTAAATTAATTGTTTAACATCTCTCATGACTCATCATGCAGCTGTCGGGGGCGGGGGGGGGGAATAAAATTCCTGCATTGTGTTCCTCCTGTTGGAGATGTTGTGTGATGCTAATTAAGGGGAAGTCACAGACTGAAATCTTGAGCAGTACTCATGCTGAGGGAATTTTGTAGTTGGCTTGTGTGTAGAGAAGCATATTGTTGCCATTGTGACAGCAACAGAATGAGACTCAAAGGAAAACAAAGCAACTGGGGAAAAGATTAAATTAAGAAATGCAGCAAAATAAAGCATTTGAAAACAATGTGATTGGGGGAAGAAAAATAAGTGAGGTTAGGAAAAAAGGTAAGGGAGCAAAGTAAAGAACAGTAAATATAACTGAGGAACAAAAAAATAAATAAGTAGAACACCACAAAAGCAGAGAATAGTAATTATAAATTTTGTCATGTTCCTGAAAACTTCAGAGAAAACACTTTGCTGAGACTGAGAGTAATTTTGTCAACAGCATACATTTTCTGTACATCTTTTTCCCATTTCTGACTCAGAGGTATATTTGCATGAAAATAGGGTCATGTCTACAAGAGCTCATATGTTCTTGCTGTCTGGTTGCCTCTTGAAGTCATAGTGCCAAATTCAGAAGCGAGTCTAACTTGCAAGTTCTCCCTTCCCTGTCTTACGCTGCCTTAGCATTGCAGAGTTGCTTACTGACATGAAATTGCTGGGTCTCTGTCACCTCTGAAGTTAGCTCACTGAGTCAAAGCTAATTTAATTTGCTTCCAAGGAGCCAGAAGAGAGAAGACATAGAGTAGTAAGAAAAGCAGCTAGCAACCAGGTGTAAATAGGTGTGAGTTCAAATAGGCCACTCCTTTAACCTACATCACCACCTTGACTACATGGCATGTGAATTACATAAACTCAGATTCTCTTCTACTAGCATACCAATGTGTAGATTTTATCACCTCTCTCATCCCCTCTGAATTTGGCCTAGAGTGTCCTGTTTCAAACATCAGTTGACCTGGGAATGATTTACTTAATGTATTTTCATATAAAGTCACTTTTATAAAAGCTGCATTAGCCAATGTATATTTCCCTGTGTTAAATATGGCTCAAGTTTATTCAATATAGCAATCACTATTGCTGTGTGGAAGTATTAATATCAGTAGGCATCTAAAAAAAGATCATATTAAAATCACTACAACCAATGTAATAGTTCACCAGCTCAACCTTTATCTCATGTATAATACCCACTTAATTTCCTGTAATATGCTTAGCAGAACCTTTGATCTCCTAGATTGGCTGTTGAACTGTGTAATGGAAACTACAGTACTTTTAGAAACAAACTTTTTCTTGATCATTCCACAATTTTACCTTACTTGATATCTGGGTAATTGAAATTCTTCATGATCGATATGAAGGCTTTTTTGTAGGTCTTTGTTCCCATGTATGTGTTTAGACAAACATTCTTAACCCTAATGACTAACTTTCTTTGTGAACTTAATTCATATACTATGAAGTTCCTTTCTTTGGCAGGCTCTTAAAATTATTTCATCTCCAGGCTGGCCATCTCTCATAGAATATGACATTGCTTGTCCTTTGTTTTCATATGTTATCCTCCCATATATCTATATATCTATTGACTTTGCTGTGTTTAACTTAATTGATTATTCTTAATTAAACACAATCCTGGTATTAATATCAAGTCACTTACTGTTCCTGAGATATGCCTTTTCAAACATCAAGGAAGCAAATATATTTCATAAGAATTGCTTAAATGTTATCAATTTTTACAATTAAATCACTTCTTTTTAATCCTGAAAGTTGCATTTATCTGATTTTCACCTAGCTTTGGTTGCTCATTTTTTCTTTATTTTTAGTAATCCAATTTGTATAATTAGGACCCTAACAAATTCGTGGTCCATTTTCGTCAATTTCATGGTCATAGGATTTGAAAATAGTAAATTTCATTATTTCAACTATTTAAATCTGAAATGTCACAGTGTTGTAATTGTAGGGATCCTGACCCAAAAAGGAGTTGGGGGTGTCGTAAGGTTATTGTAAGGGGGGGTTGTGGTACTGCCAGCCTCACTTCTGCACTGCTGCTGGCGGCGGCGCTGCCTTCAGAGCTGGGCAGCTGGACCCCAGTTTGAGAAATGCTGGTCTGCCCCATGAAATCTGTAGAGTATAGGGTAAAAGCACACAAAAGACCAGATTTTATGGGAGCAGACCAGATTTCATGGTCCATGAAGTGTTTTTCATGGCCGTGAATTTGATAGGGCCCTATATAATACATAATGTAGACCAGGAGTTCTCAAACTTTGTTGCACCGCGACCCCCTTCTGACAACAAAAATTACTACATGACCCCAGGAGAGAGGACCGAAGCCTGAGTTTGCCCAAGCCCCACTGCCCCAGGCAAGGAGGCCAAAGCCCAAGGGCTTCAGGCCCAGGAACGGGGCCTATAACCTGAGCCCCACTGCCCAGAGCTGAAGCCCTCAGGCTTCTGCCCCTGGTAGTGAGGCTCAAGCTTTGGCTTCGGCCCCAGACAGTGGGGCTTGGGCTTCGGCTCTGGCCCCAGGCTCCAGCAAGTCTAACCCAGTCCTGGTGACCCCATAAAAATGGGGTTGATACCCACTTTGGAGTCCCAACCCACAGTTTGAAAAACACTGATTTAGATGATAAATTCTATAGGGCAGGGACTGTGTTTACCTGTTTGTATGTGTGTTTGTAGGCTGCATAGCATAATGGGCCACCAGTCCTGAATGGGACCCGGGGTTGCTACTGCATTACAAAACAGTAATAATACTTTCGCACATGAGACGTGTCCTACCACTGACATTGCACTTCAAGATTCAATATGGGTAAGCATTCACCTAATGAACTTTTAACATAAGTACAGTATGTATTTGGTACTGGTTACAGGTCTGAATAATTGTAGAACATTTTTTGATTTACACAAGAGGGCAGAGAACACATTCTATTGCAAATAGAAAGAAAAAATGTAAGACTTTGAATACACAGCTAGGTATTCAAATATATGGTCTCATTTATGACCCTTCCACTCTTTCCTTAGTGGTGTATTATAGACGTCAACAA